ACTAGAACATTGCACGTATAGATCACCGTATGGAGGTACCCGCTAAAGCTCGTATCGAAAGTGGGGCAGACTTCCGCTCTCTTAGGCGACCCGTCGAAGCCAACAGGAACACGTACTGGGACGAAGCAGCTAATGCAGTAGAACAGACTGCGGGCGAAAGGGACACAAGGAAGCTTTTTCAACTAATTTGAAATTCAGCGCGGCAGGAAAAACTATCAGCGAACCCATATCCACGGGTGGGTTGATACGGAATCTCAGAGCTCGCTTTGATCAGTGGAAAGACCACTTTCAAACTCTCCTCAAATGCTCACCTCCATAAATCATACATAAACATGCGGCATTAAAAGAGTTTGCGAGCAATACTTTTCCATCTGTAGATCTCCCTTATCCGCGGAGATGTAGTCCAGATCAAGATGAAATAAATCCCCTAGTGAGGATGGCCTCTCAGCGGAGTTATATCAGTAGAGTCAGCCAGAAATCGACGACTGCTTGCGAGACTATTTCGCCATTTTTGGTCTGAGGAACGGGTGCCGTAGGGTTGGAGTAAGTCACTGATGCCCCCATTCATCGAAAAGAGTGACAAACCCCTATGTCAAAATTATCATGCAAATAGCTTGATTGAAAACTGCTCCTGGTACAAGACCAAATCAGGCTTGCTTCCGCATTGGAAGACGATGCGTCGAACAAATCTCAACATTGCCCCGCTCGTTAAAACATCGCTGCTGTTTCCAGCAGTCCATAACTGTGTGCTTCATAGACTTCTTAGTTCGTAGTTCATGAACTTCGATTCGGTTCGTCCAGACTCCCTGTAGCGTATTACGATGCAGATGATACTCTGCAGAAGCTTATGAACAGGCTAAATTAACACAGGCTACCGCAGAATACGAACAAGAGTTCCGCACCTACGGCGATGTGATGGATGTTTCGACAGTGCTTCTGGCATCAGGGCTCTGCGATCTATCTCTTGTCTGTTCTATTCAACGTTGCCATCGATTGGATAATGGCAACACCACTGAAGGACTTACTCAGCTTTGAAGTTAGTCATGATCACTATATCACCAATCTTGAATACGCGACAACATCGGCATTACGTCATCGAAATACGACGATGTTCAATAAGCCCTTAAAAGAATTCATGAAGTGATTGTAGGCGTGTGTGTTTTTGTTTTACATAAACGCAGTAAAAATGAAAATATTCTCCAAAGAGATTCTGAAACAAGAGAGAAATCCATCCTCCTGTATGCCATTCCCTTGAAGAAGTCACTACCTTGAAATAGCTTAGCGCCTTCTTCCAAGCGAACAGTTGAAAGGTGAAACCACGTCTTGGATACCAGTTACAAGGCAGCTTTCTTCCAGTTCTATTTGCCTCTATGAAAACGACGGGAGGTTAATCTCAAGATGAAGTATCGAGTTTTCAAGGCCGCCATGCGCTGCATTCTCCCTTATGAAGGAGAGAGCTGGGCCCCAAGAGTTGAAGACGTAAGGAAGCAAGAATCCTTCGACCACTAAGGTTTACAAATCATTTAACGGACACGATTTATCGACCATATATTCAACGCTACAATCAGTGCCCGTTGCAACATCATCCAGTTGTCTAATGCCCTGAAAAAAAAAACGGTGACTGCTTTAGCTATGGAACGTGGCACTGAGGCATTCACCAGGCAATGTCACCTCCGTAGCAGGAAGCAACAACCCGATCTTTGGATGACACCGGAAAAAAAGGCGGACAATTTAAGAGCTGGTGGGACACACTCGGAACTGACTTTGAAATCCCTTCAGCAGCGATTAGGCAGCAAGCAGCAATCCTGGCAAGCAACGATTCGGGACTTCATTGGATCTGCCTAAATCAGTGATAGTCGTAACAGCAACATCCGAAAATATTGCAAAACTATCTATTTGCATGACGAACGTTCATCTTCGCCTCGCTCTGTCAAAATCGTTGTTCTTTGTAGCTAAAGATGCTTGTGAAGATGTATTCTTAAACTGAGACGAAGTTGTGGCTGTCTGTTCATTCTCTGGTATTCATAATTAAACAGAGGCATGATCTTATTCACTTTTTCTTATATTGTTGTTCTATCATTATCAACTTAGGCTAACGAAGCTTTAACGGTAACATTAACTATAGCCTTTTAACGTTTTCTGCCTAATGTCGTTTAGCAAATTTTAATTAGGCCTTCGGGTTGATTCAGCGAAGGCCACATTCTTCATTAGTCTATCCTTGCAAGAAGATGCGTTTTCATATTGCAATGCAATATATTTTCTGCTCGTGTATAGTTGGCATAGACTAAATTTTTGTCAATTGTCAATGTTTTATGATCACCTTGTCAAAGCCGCTCAGGAATCGACTTGTGAATTCCTAGGATAGTTTATTTAAATTGGCTGACCTATTTATTTGGTACTGGGTAACGGTGCCATTTATAAGGAAATTAAAAAAAAACAACATTGCTAGAAGTGGTCCATTTGAGCTACTTGATGTTTCTAAAGAGAATATTTTTCATCTATCCATTAAAACCGCGAAACTGATGGTAAACTTCGTAGTCTGTCGTTTAATGAAACGTAATGCAATAACTTTTCCGAGCGATGGCCCTCAACCGACGTACTGTTCTGCCTTTTCGATACTTTCTTCAGAGTGCATTGGTTACCGCTTGCATGCGCGTGAGCAAAAAGCTAAATCAGCGCATATGCATTGATTCTTTTAGTGGTTGACTGTCTCATCTCGTTCCGTGACTTAAGTTGTTGACAATAAATTAGTTAGTAAGAGAAAACGCGGTTAGACACTCAAAAAATGCTTTAAGTGAAAACAGCGAACCTTTCAGAAAACTTAGCCGGACTTTTTATTAACGCTAATTAGACTCATGTTCGCTTTTTGCCAAGATTTTATTCCAAGACTTTTCAAAGGCTTTGAATGAAAATACTACAGGTTTTAAGAGCTAACCCTACCCAAATGCATCGCTACATTTGCAAACGTGTTTCATGAGCGAATTGCTAATAACTTGTTAAAACGCAGAAAAACAAAAACGCCTACTAAACAACGAAGAAATCCTTCTAGACGAATCCTGTGTATTTAGCAGCCCTATCAAGCTTTCCATCGCTTTCGTAACGAGAAAAAAATAACGGAATGTCACAACTGCAGCGACAGAATGCATTCGTTTGCTCGCCGGTCATGCTGTTGCGAGATTTTCCTTTCGAAAATGACAGAAGTTAGGCCACTTTAAAGACTTGACAAATTTTCGAGGCGTTTCGGTACAAGGTTTGTGTCGGGTTTCGTCCGCAGATGGCTATTCGCCGATATTGCTGCTAATTTGCGACACCAATGCACGTGAGCAAACGTTGGACGCTTTGCACAAAGCTGCAAACGGCAATGAGCACGTGTCCATCAAAAACAACGGAAGCTTCTCGCCTCATTTGCCCCAATTCCCATGTTATTGTACACAGCGTTCAGGTAGACAGTGAGTGATTTAGCGGCTCCTTTTACTTCGTCACTTTTCAATTATTGTGGTGATTAGCTGCCTGTTTTGACCGGTCGCACTGCGGCAGCAGCCAAAGCATTACAAACACCTGCAGAATCACGGGCAAATTGATTTCATGCACTTGATTTACTGTGAGAGGTTTATTAATCGGCTGAAGAGCTAAGGACAGAACTTTGCGAATTCGCATAACCTGATTTAGCTTTTTCATTCACGCCTACTAAACGGCAACTGACGCATTATTTCGTGCCTACAGTATCCAATGTGAAACGCACTGCGAACACGTACAACCGAAAAGCGCCCGGCACGCCAATCTAATTTTCAGCGCCAACCGTGTTCAGAGCTGACGACAGTTTTGCCTCGCCCGCGACCTGTCTATTGAAGGGTGATTTATATGGCAGTCTGTAGTGCTTTTCAACTCCTTCTGAAAGCGAACACCAGGGCTTTGTACGGGTTTCGACTTTGATTGATGATTCGTTCGAAAAATTGTGATGACAGCCATATGCGGATGGTTAGGCCAGACTGAAAGAAGCCTCGCCGGGCGAGCTTCATTCTTCGGTTCACAGTCGATTGCATTTTCTGAAGAGTCGGTGTCGTCAAACTACACTAGCCACAGACAGATTTGATTTGAAGTATTTGCCACTCAGATCTCAAATTTCAAGGGGTCTTGCTCTTTCACTAGTTGATTGTTCAACCAGGGTGGCCGTCGTGTGTAGAAATGTAACTGATCCAAACTCAGCCGTCAATTTCACCAATAAACGTTGTAGGCAGAAGAACTGAAAACCAGCATAAAACACGGTTTATAAATTAATAATCAACGCTAAAATATGGTCAGTCAACTGACTGACCACCACCGACGTTTCGGCTAGTCTAACGAGCTTTCTTCAAGGTAGAAAGGTGGTCGAGTTTCGGCGATTTTCTTCTTATCTGCAGCGGTTGGTAGGTATGGAGCCAGAAGTTATTTGGGCTTTGGAACTTGACCTTCTGGTTCCGATCGTACCAGCCGTGACGGATGCGAAAAAAAACTCCGAAACAACCCATCAACCTCCTTGAAGAAGGCTGTGAGATACGGGCCGATTGACCATGTTATTTTTTTCGTTGTTTATTAATAATGTAACACGTAATGTTTTTACCATGACCTCAAACGCATTGAAAAAATACTCCAATAATATGCAGAAAAATTTCGGACTGCGTGGTTACTGTGGAGGCAGATGCGAGTCGTCTGCGACATGGCGTCATACATTTTCAGTGGCCCCTTCAATTTTTTTCCTCGAGCAATTTGTGTTACATATTTTCCTTCGTTAGCATTTTTCAATGCTCATTCAGTGATGCAGTGTTGCGAACGACAACCCAGAAATTTTGCAATTTTGGTCCATTTGCGACGCATCACATTTCGCAAATGTCTCAGCAGCAAATTTCTTTCTCATACCACAATTTTCCGAATTTCGAACTAGACGTCGTCAAACGCTTTATACGGTAACGACTGGTGCACAAAAACAGTAATGATATTCGTGACGCTAAGTTAGCAGTTCGATGACTAACGTGCCGTCCGAAAGAAGACCGGCGACGTGCGCCAACTTGAAGGCAGCAGCGAGGCGAAGCGACACCGTGAAAAGGCACGTGCGAGCGAGAAACGAAACTCCGTGGCGGTGAGGCGTAAGGCGGAAACGGACAACGCGAACATCGCCTCGCAAAATGAAAAGAAAAGCTGCCAAAGACAGAGGTGTCAGTGAGGCACGGGAGCCACGGTTCTCGTATCGTTGGCCGGCCGAGCTTGGTGCGCCAGCCGATGGACTAAAGGAGGGAAACGGCGCTGAACTTCACTCGCATCCTCGCTGCTGCCGCGCCGGTCGAGTTCCAACGTGCAGGACTGCGTGACCACCGCGTCGCCGAGCGAGTGAGTAAACGACGCCGTCGTTTCTTTCCGTCTTATCGCGTTGTCGTCAAAATCGGTCGGTCGGTCGGGTCATTGCAATGACAAAATCTTTTACCTACCGCCGCGTGATTCGGCTATCGTCGATCGTCAACGGTCAGGCTTAAGAAAAATGAGGTACCGCTGTCCTCCATGCAACTTACTCCCCTTCGACATGCCGGTGGGCTGGCCGAACTTATCGATTTGCGTGGCGTTGGTAAAGTTGTTCGGTTCCGCGCCAAAGAATGGACCAGCCAAATTCCGCGTCGTCTAAGCAGTCTTAGCTGGTTTGGTGAATTTTCGTTTCCAGCCGCCTACACCGGCAAGACGTTACCGTACACCGCTTACGCCTACTAATCGTGACAACAGTTCGGCGTGGCATTTCATGCAGCCGTTTGTTTACGCACGCCGTTGCGTTGCGTAATGCAATTTGCTGCGGACAGCGGCGGAAACCTCACAAACTCTTATTCTGTCAGATGTTCGACGATCAGCCTGTAAAGCGAGTTCGTCCAGATAAGGCTATTTTCCATAACGGATTCATATTCATCATAATAAATCAACGCCGCCGCTCGGCGGTTAATCAAAACAAAACATTTGCTCTGTTTGACGCAGGAAATT